AGTCCTGCTCAGAAAGTTTTTGCACAACATCATCAGCCACAAGTTTTAAGTTCAATGGTTTTTGAATGGTGTTAAAAAACAAAAAACTAACATGATAAGATTTGCCTTGAGTGAGTCCTCCATGACACATGTATCAAAGAAGTTGGCCAGGAGATCATACTTTTCGTCTCCAAAAGCCCCGGAGCCATGTGGCTTATAGTTGATTGACCAGGCATATGTTGTGGCTAATATAGCCTCGTTGAACTTCGGGTCACAGCCATTGGACAGTTTCAAGTCTCGAATCAGTCGGTGCACTTTATCACAGTGACAGTGTGCAAGCAGATTGTGGTGTTGCAAGTAGGCCAAGCCTGCCTGGGCCACAATGTTGCACCAAAGAAACAAGTCAAGGGGAAAATGACCATAGCATTATATCTTTTCCAAACGTCATCATAATTATATACATGTATTCTGCATTTACATATAAAATGAATGGCCACATGTCATGTGTCACAAATTCATACTTTTATGAAACCTTCCCATTTGATATTGCTGCTAAGAAACAGCACCCACACCGCCCTGATCAATCGAGACAGTGAGGATGGGTACCTCCATAGCCTTTGACAAATCTTGGACATGTGTCTCACCAGTATGGACATCCTTGATCAAGACCTGGTTGCCTTGGACAATCCTCTTCTTGTCTGGACTCAGTAGAGACAAGTACATTGACAAAGGTGGAGTAAATGCTGGAAGTGAGAGTCGCCCCCGTGAAATATGCCACAGCTGATGTGAAAGAGCCGCTAGAAACCTGTAGGCAGCCAAACGTTCAACTTTGCGTGTGGCGGCCAGAATCTCGATTTCCGGCTCCAGATCAAACTCAAGAGGGGCAATGGCTTTGGATCTAGAGACGTGTTGAACAGGGCAAAGAGCACAACTGTCCATCTCGTGAGAGTAACATATGCTGACAATTGTTTCTTTTTGACTGTGAGTCGAAGCATCAGTCACCATGTTGATGTGTGGAATATTCAGGAACCCAGTTTTGACCTTCCCGAAATAAATTCCCAGCACTTTGCGGTTCCAGTACTCAACAGAAGACACTTGTGCACCTCCTTGAACTTCATCACTGCGCAACTTGGCGACAACTGACAAGCTGCAGTTCTTTTCCCGAGCTGCTTGCAGCATGGTCCATATTGAGTCTGGGTGCACCAACACATGTGACTGATGAGTCTTTGTCGGTCCACTTCGACGTTTCCTGGTGGCTGGCACTTGCGACAAGAGTAGATTGTAGTTGGTTCATCTAAATAACCCCAACATAAAGAAAGTGAATCCAAAATTTGATCAAAACAACTAGCTGAAGTAACATGGCTAGTTTCTTAAATTTTCTGGCAGGAGCAGCTTGTTGTGCTTGATGTGGTTGTTCTGGGGTATACATGTGCAGCAAAAACTGATCCATTGCAGTTGACACACATGTCGCCATCAAATCTTTCAAATCTTGGAGCAGCTGTAATGACATTTGTCCCAGAACCGCTTTCTGCCTGGAGCGTCTAAAGCGTTCCAAAGTAGCAACAAAAATGATAATATCGACAACATGTACCTCCTCTTGTCAATCAGATGACAAATGTCCAGCATTGAACATAGCATGCCACTCCTGAGACCAAGCTGTAGCGATTCCTCTATGGATACTGCGAAGAAAAGCAGCAAATGCAAGATTCCCAGCAGAAGTCACAAACAAAGTTTCATCTCGATTCGCTGGAAACCGAACCTGCACTCCAGCAACAGCACTCACCCAAGGCATCACCATGAAGCCAACTGCCTTCAAATAGGACAACAGGAATTCAGCTTTGGCTTCCTCCCGAGCTCTGTTGACAAATGTAAACAGGCAGATCATCAGTGCCAAAGAAGTGCAGAGATTTCGGGCCAGTAGGCCTGGCCTCTAAGCAAGACTGATTGGTTTGACATCACCAAATTCCAACAAACACTTCCCTCCGACATGAACACAAAATATTGAACGTGTATCCAGCTAATTTTAAATGATAGGTTCTTACTAAAAATAAGATTTTGGAATCAACATTTCAGAACCCCCTACCTGGCGACAGCTGTCCTCAAACTCACATCATTCGAAGCAAAAGCTTTGTTTGTTACAGTCCCAAGAAGATCTCGGTAGAACTTGTAGGAACCTCTGTTCTCATGGCCCTTTTCCCGGATGATGTCATAGAAGTAAGCGGTATCCCAGTGAATGCGATTAGCATCAGTGTTGTCAACATACCCCACAGTGCTTGGCAGCTGAAGGTTGTTGAAGACCATGAGTCTTGCATCATCCCGCACCATAGTAGCACAGCACAGCGGACAAATATGAGACAACAGAAACAAAACTCCTGAACCACAATTCAGCTAAAAGAACGCCATAGACATACATCAACACAAATGCAGACCAATTGACTTCCTTTGATTCAACTGAAGTGCATGCCATTGTACCATAAGAAATGCATAATTCTAAGAATCAAACTTCCTGATGTAGTGGAGCTGCTCGCCATCAGCCTGTCAGCAACAATAATAAGAATCAACATTATGGCCATGACAATAACTTGTGCTGCCACACTCACGAAGCAGGCTGATTTCACAATTCAAGTGATCCAATGTTTTCAAATCTTCGCAGTGAAGCCAAGCTCTCATAATTTAAGATTGCCTGAGGGCATGTCAGCTTCTGATGCTTCGAACACGGTGCCTCCCCTATAGTACGAGATATTGCGGTCAACTGCACAAACGTCACAAAACGAAATTATATAAACAATAAGACATCATGTGCTTGTTCACACAAACAAATGAAACATAGCAACTATGCCATCATCATTCACTTAGACAGATGACCGCAATATGCAACCCACAGCACCACAGAAACATGCAGCACAAATGACTTCCCCTCAGGACATATGATACTTTGATCAAAGCAAAAGACAGATGACCTCAGCCAAAAATCTGCTCGATCTCGGTCTCCATAGCAGCCTCACCTTCGGCCTCCACAAGCTCCCACTCAGACGGCACATTTTCCATCTCCGACTGCCAGGTCCTCTCACACCTCATCGGGCAGTGGTGCAGAGGGATGCCGCCCGGACGTGAGGCCCTCCACTTTGACAGGCACTCATTGTGACACACATGTGCACAGGGCAGGGCTGTCACCGCCTCTCCTTGGACCTTCTCCAAGCAGATGGGGCATGGATCTGGCTCCTTTTCAGCAGGCTCTGACACATGTTCTTCCACATCTGACGACAGGCTGTGGTCACTCTCCACAGGTGGCGCAACAGGCACCACAGGCTGCACAGGTGTCACAGCATGCACTCCAGGCTGGACAAATGTCGCAGCAGGCACCACAGGCTCCACAGGTGTCACAGCAGCCACCACTCCAGGCTGGACAGACGTCGCAGCAGCTCTGGGGGCTGCGCAGGGCTGTCTTGAGGTGGTGCAAGCCCAAGCATTTGACCAACATCACCACTATTCCCTGTGGACACATCTGCTGCAGTGCGCTTCTTCTTGGCCTTCATCCACGCATTGTCCTGATGAGTGCAACATGCAGAACAGCCCATATCCCAACGTGATTTTTTGACTCAGCAATGTAATGTGACACCAAAACATCAAAACACATAAAATATTTTCAAATTCATTTTGAGTGTCCCAGCCATGTGGATAGGCTTGCTGCAGGGCAGCTTCATCACATGGAGACAAAGGTAACTTGTTCACAATTGTCTCGATGTGTGCTTGGCCACAGGAGATCTTCACCCGGTTCATGGCCTGAATCCAGCAGTTGAAGAGATCTGTGTATGTCGTCACACCTGAGTCGGTCAGCAAACTGGCTTACTCTATCAGTAAATGCATAGATTCACATTAACATAGTAAAAGCATAATTATACTACCACACTACCAAACATACACTATTATAAGATGCACACCATGGCACGAAGATCATTGACTCGAGTTGTCGGGTTCAACCGGGCACACATGTACACAAGGGCCAGGAGACCAGTGATGCTCAAGGCATGAGTCATGCTAGGGTCCAGGTCTTGGCAAAGCCATTCCAATCCCTCTGACAAACGACACCGAGGTGTTTGACGCAAAAAGGTCACCGAAGAGGAAATCTTGTCCTGGACACCTGACCCATTCATCTGTCCCCTCTCTGGTAGTGCACGACGCTCCTCCTGCTTCTCCTCCTCTTTCTTCTCCTCCTTCACCTCCCTTTCATCCCCCGATTCCTCATCAAGAGCCGGTTGCTGCATTGCCATCTGAGCCAGTTGGGGCAACATCATCATCAACGGGTTCATCATCATTTGCTGCTGCTGAAGCCTCTGACGCTTCGCTGCTGACATTGGCATGGCCCAGTACAGATGACAAATCAGCACAAAAGAGACAGTTTCCCCGAGGACACTTGACCGAGATCGCTGCACAACTTCCACAAATCAGCACAAGTGTCCAATGGTTTTCCACTTGTTTTCTTTGAATTCTAGATATTTTTTTACTGGTGATTTGAGATCATTTCAGAACTTTTGAGAGATTTTGAGAGATTTTGAGAAAATTTGAGAAATTTCACTCCACTCAGCAATGCTACTTTTCAATTACAATGGTTCCCATGCCTGAGATTTTGAGAGATTTTGAGAGATTTTGAAAAATTTTGAAAGATTTTGAAAGATTTTGAGAAATTTTGAAAAAAATTGAGAAAATTCTAGACACTTTTTTTTAAATTTTATTTGCTAGGTTCTATTTGCTGCCCCATGGGATTGCAGGCATCTGTTGTGACAATGGTTGGTCTCACATGCAGTCAGTCTCATACTTGCTAGTGGTGTTGCAGTTGCTGCCACGCCTTGACAGTTGACACCACTGCACCATGAAGAGAAGACACCTGTGACAGCTTCACTTACACTGTTTACTGGGAGTCTAGCTCTATATTGTATCAGGACTAGAAAAGTAAGGTAGGATGGAAGGAAGGAATGAATATACTGGACATACAACTCTTAGCGGCTTCGCTGTTTTCTGTTTCATGTCTGTGCTTTGAAAAAAGGAACTCGCGCAGAGAAGCACGAACCACAGCAAAAGAGGTTGGCATCCTTCAGCACTTTGGCTCTCTGTGGCCTGTGCCCTGTGCCGTCGAAGCGCCAACCACAACGTGTCTCGACAGTGCTGATGTCTGAGATGGCATGCACTGTCGCACTGTTTGGGTTGACAACAACTTGGTCCTCTGGAGAAGCCGAAGTGAGTTGCAGCTCGTGCACACGTGGCTCTTTCACACGCACGGAACAGCTTCCACTTGCAGCCGGTAGCTCCTCACACTGGACCGTTGGTTGCTTCTTGCGTTTCTTGACCTTTCAGTCGCAGGAATGCGTTGAGCGTGGCAATACGTGGACCAAGCCTTCGCACAACTATGCCGCACATTGTGGTCATGAGCAAACAGGAGCAAGAAGAGTTCTTGGTGTATAGGTGCGGCATAGGAAAGTACAAGCTGCCATCGGCCAGCCACATGAAAGACTTGCTCAGCAGCTTCGGTGTCAATGCCGTAGAGATCTGGGTGTGCAGCTGGATCAACGCCAGAAACAAACCAAGGACTGGATGGTTGACGGCAAGCAGAATGATATCGCAAGTGCAGCCTGTCCACCACCCAATGGAGGTTCGCCAGCCGCTGCCAAGCTGCCCGCACCGGAGGAGCAAGTGTCAAGTCACGCACGCGCTTGCGTGCGCTCCGAGCAGCTCCACAGGCATTGTCGTAGACGACAAAGGCCAATGTGCTGAAAAGGCTGAGCAAATACTGCACCAAGAAGACTTGAGTCACAGACTCAGAGGCATACATGGGACGGATAGCCAAAATATGCAGGCATGGCGACACCGCCACCAGAATGCCATTGGACTTCCGAACAACCCGGGTTTCGGAGATGCCCTTGCGGTCGTCCTTGTGACCTGGGGCGCTGTCAGCAAAGAAGTATTTCTGTATATGGGTCTATAGATATGTCTATAGTCAGGGGGCACTACCATAACATTACAACCGGGCACTGGCGAAGACTCAAAAATCAGGAATGCTGAAAGCTAAGGCTGCGGCAAGAATCCGGCTCATCCACTAGATTGTCACGCGGTTTTTGGCGCAGTAAAGTGAGCTCGTAAGCTCGCACATGGCTCAAAGGCACTGCTGCAGCATCAACCCAAGCATCTTGAACCAGGTACTGCAAGGAAAGCCCTTCCTGGGTCTGCCTTTCTCTGTGCTTTCGGATGCAGGACTCTTCAGGGGGCACTTCACATTGACCATGCGCCCGGCAATATTTGGAACCAGGAGCTGGTCGACAAGAGCAGCCACGAAAGTAGCCCATCTGGAGTTTGGGCTCCCACACCAGGCCAGAGCCACGGTCGTTACAAACCAGTGTCTGGACAGACCATTTTCCGTCGATCACACATGCGCGGACCTTGTCGAACAATGGACAAGCATGCTCAGAGGCCAGCCTATCAAAGCCGGCACGGAGCTTGCGCAGCAATGGCTCAAAGTCTGCAGCTTCATGATGGGGACGCAAATGCCACTGAAAGGAGTGCAATTCTTCAATTCCAGAAGTGTCCAACAACAGCATGGACGCATGCACCAAAACGGCGAAGAGCAGCTTTTGGACAAAATGTTCCCGAGCAGCAAACATCGTCCCGCGCATGGTAGCTGACCAAAAAGAGGAATATATATCGTATAGAGCAGAAGCACTCAAGCCGCCACGGGCCATGCACCCAAAGATGAACTGCAAAAAGTGCACCTCCCAACACACAGTTGGAGTGGCAAAGAACCACCGTGCGTCTCTGCGATCAGGTTGGATGTGGCAAGGATGATGAAAGCCATGAGGAAAGGGGCTGTTTTCAGGCACATCGTCCCATTTCCAAGAGCCACCTCTGGCGCGGCTTTAGGTTAGTGTGCTAGCAGTCGACGCAATGCTTTTTGCATGTACACATGTGTTGCTCAAATCCACGTGTACATACATGTGTGTCTTGTGTTCATTGTGTTTCAGGTTCACTTTGAGGCCCGGGCCATACACTGCAGAACATTGAAAGCATCGCAGGAAGAGCACTCGTGCCCGAACCAGCCCACGGCCAAAAGTGAAGCAAAGGGCTTCTGTTTGCCGCCAAAGAACCAAGGGTCGGCCGCACTTGCATCTAGAATCACCGCTGTAGGGCACGAACTCCAAGACATGCATCAAAGTTGCAGGTTGCTGCGAGGCCAGCACTGGTGTGTACGTAGAGATTGCTCTTGGCACCAGGGTCAGGACTTGTGGCATTGTAGACAGTAGCCGAGCTAAGACATGAGCAACTGTAGTCTCAGTAGCAGTCGGCGGCCACAAATTTGCGGCTGCGAGGAGTCTAGCAATGGCAGCCGAACGCCCTGGGGCAGCATTTGTGTGATAGCCTAAACAAAACCAGCCCAAGGCGCAACAAGCGAAAGGGACTAAAGCCTCTGCAAGCTCGGCGTCCGACACCATGTTGGAGGAGGAATGGCCCTGGATTATGACATTGAACTGAAACAAATATCGCGGTAGGTAGGTTGTGGCTGCAGCATGCTGCACTGTCACATGGTGTTTGCTTGAAGGTGGAAATGACAAAAAGTTATGGATCTAGCTGGCTGCGCATGTGTGTTTTTGTTCGCTCAGGTGGCGCAATGCAAATGTCAAAGCTTTCTGAATTTCATTGCCTAGTTGTGTGTAGCACACAGCTGCAAAGGCAAACGCGCAGAGGCAAAGCGGAATCAATGAATTAGGATGCAATGTGCTCGCTCAGTGGAGAAAGCGGGGCCATGAAAATGTCGTCGCGTGGACTGGGAGGATCCTCAACCGTATCTGCAACTTCTGCCGCAATGTCCAAACCATGGCCACGCAGGGCAGCGCCAAAGCCATCATCATGGTGAAGCTCTCCTTCGGCAGGTGCGTGGAGATTGACCACGTCCATGTGCAAGCCCAAAGCAGTTGCAAAGCTTTGGACCAGAGGCCGTGGAGGTGGCTCCGCCCATTGAGTAGCGGCCGGAGCTCGTGGCGGGCGAGCCGCTGGCGCTTGAACGGATTCAGCGTAACTATCCAAAGATGGGATGCTGTCTCCATTCAGACCCAGGGCCACCAGAATTGGGCGCATCTGTACTGAGACTTGGCGTTTCTCGAAAAACCAGATTCCACGACCGCCACCAGCAGTTTTGATGGATCGACACCATTGTCCAAGGCCCAAAGATTGCAGAAGGAGGCACACGATGAAGATGCCAAAGTGCGCATGCTCCTTCCAAATCTTGGCCGCTTTTCTTTTCATGGCATCAGATTGGTTCCAGTAAAACCAAGGGCCAGCACCACTGCTGAGGACAGCCTGCACCAATTGCAAGAGGATATCCACGGTGAATCCATGCAAGGGAAAACGTTGCACAAAGACCAAGAGGATGCCCGGAAGGGAAGAGCCCAAATCTGTCAATGCATCCAAGGCATCATTTCCCGGGCCATGCTGGCTGCCACGCATCGAAGTCATCAAAGCCTCGAAATCATAGTTCTTTGCAGGAACCAGTGGAGGCAGCTGGCTAGCTTGGATCTGCGCGGCTGGCTCAGCTGGCAACACATGCCCTTTGCGGGCGAAATCCAGAAGCTCCCAAACTTTCTCTGCGTGGTCACAGAAAGCATAAGCAAGTTCAAAGACTTTTTGGGGGATCTGCGCGTCTGCTTGGAAGTCTAGCCCCCATGTGTCAGCGATGTCTGTGGCATCGGCAGTAGACCGCCAAGCTGCACAGACTGCTTGCAAGACATGCAAAGACAAAGCCATGCGATTGAATTTGGCGCGCAGCTTTCCATGGTACTTGGCTTCTTCGTGCCTGCCCGGCTGGAGGAAGGCATCATGTTGCATTTCCATGTGCTCATCAAAGTTGGCATCCACCAATGTCTGGGCACCGTCGGTGGGGCAAGGTACGAAAGTCATCCCTTCCCGACTAACAGCGCACCGCAGCAGCGGGTAGCAAAGACCAGCTATGAATTGCGCGGGTTTCTTGCTTGGTGTGGGCAGCGTCGAGCAGGCTAAGCGAATGGCGGCAATGGTGCTCCATTTCGGTGGGCCGTACACTGCAGTGACCCTTTGCCGCAAACCAAAGGCATCCTGTGCAGTGGCACGGTGCATCTCTGGGATGTGGCCACCGGAGCAGCAGCCAAACCAAGGCCTCTGCACTGTGAAGGCCCGGGTTTTGTCCATCACCGGTCGATGCCACGTAGAACTGTCCCACAGCTTTGCCGGAGCTGCGCGGTCGATGCTACTCCCAGCTGTGAACCAGGAAAGAACTTGTTCAATCTCAGGTTCCACAGAGAGAGCTGCGCCGCGATTTTGCTCGAGACTCATTTGCAAGCCGGTGGCGGCCAAGGATCCTCCCCCAGCAAGGAGTTGACGGCGAGGAACTTCTTCTGAGTCCTCTGCCGGCCTGGCCGAATTTTCTTGAATATGTAACCAATCAAACATCGTAGCCACCGCGTTTGCCACGATTTTCACTACTGCAGAACTGTTGGTTGCCCCCGGGTGCAAGAGTACGACCCACAAGGAGGAAGGAATGCTGATGGAAGGCGCAGGCTCAAAGCGATCTTCGGGAATCAATCCTGAGCACACAGTCAGCAGCGCCAGCAAACCCCATTCCCAACACACGGCTAGCGTGTCAGCCAGCGCCTGCGCAGCCCACATCACGTCAGGAAGCCAAGCTTGAAAAGCGTCAGCTTGGAGCACCGGGCAGGCTCGGAAAGCTCGGAGCTGCTCATCATCTTCGGGGCACATTAGCTTCGATGAAGGCATTTCGGCACAGAGGCTGAACGAGTTGGACACGGAAAAACCCTCTACAGAGTCGAGCTTTGCATTGTCATGGTCAGGAACATGTGTGGGAAGCTAGCGTGACCATCAAGCAACACAAGAATGCTTGCAGCTATGTCAGAACGCATGGCCCCACACACGCACAGTGCACAACGGCACCTCAGCATCTCGCAGAGGGATGGTGGCATAGAAGGGCACCTGGCAAGGAGCAGAAAAGGATGAAAAAGGTGTATGTGGAAGCTACCGCTACCAAACAGAAGCCAGACTGCCTCGGAATGATGAAACACACAAACATATCACACCTTATACTTTAGCTACCAAAGACTGGAAATATACATATATATATATATATGGAAAGCAAAACAAGGATTGAAAGTGGGTATGGAGAGGGGGCGGCAGACCGCATCGATAGGGTAGGGATGGGGTGGGTCTTCAAGGGCGGGGTCTTTGACGAACCCGGTGGCCCAAACGGAGCGCAAAAAGAAGAAGGGGGTGGGGGAGTAGGAGGGGGGGGGGGTCTTCTTCCGAGGGGAGTCTTCTTAGGAAGAGGGGGGTCTGCTTCCGAAGGGAGGGGTCTTCTTCGAAAGGGGGGAAAGGGATCTTCGTTGGAACGGGGTGGGAATCTTCTTTGGAAGGGGGGAGGTGTTCTCTGCAAGAAGAAGGGTCGAAACCACGAGCGCGTTTTTGCGGCATGGCGACTGAATCTCTGAGCCGGTGCAACAGACAGCAGTTCGCCACCAATGGCGAAGGGGGTTGGTGGCGTTGTCGCAGCACGGAAGCAAAGCAGGCAAAGTCTGATAGAGGGGCGTCATATACTGGGGATATAGTAGGTGGGCCTTAGCATCCACCATTGTGGCGTTGTCACAGCACGGAAGCAAAGCAGGCAGTTGTGGCAGGTCATGGCAGGTATGCTCACTATAGTGACGTCGTTTTATTCTTCTCCTTCTTCGTCCTATTCTTCGTCGTTTTCATGTTTTTCCGTTTTTTCTTCCGGCTTGTTTTTGTTGTTGTGTTGGCTGTCGTTGCTGCAATGGAACGCTTTGCCCCACCCGCTTTTTTAGTCGCCCCTCCTCCTTCCCCTCCTCCTCGTCCTCCTCCTCGTCATGTCTGTTCGCCGGTGACGTCTTTGTCTCCTTGTTCTTCGTCGTCGTCTTCTTCTGCTTCTTTTTCGTGTTCTTCTTCCTGTTTTCTGGTTGTTGCGTTGATGCTGCTGTTGTCGCTGCAATGGAAAGCTTTGCGGGGGCAGGGCGCCGCTTTTTTAGCCGCCCTCTACTGCTCCTTCTCCTCCTTCGCCTCCTGTTCCTGTATGTTCGCCGGAGATGCCCTAGCGTGCACCTCTGCAATGTTCGTTCTTCTTCGCGCGGGTCCTCTCATGAGCAGGAGCAAAGCAGGCAGTTGCGGCAGGTCGGGTGTTGAAAGAGAAGGTCGCAGCTATATTCAACAGAGGCTTATATGAATATCACGAATTGATGAGGGATATTAGGGCCTTATCATCCACCTTTGTGGCGTTGTCACAGCACGGACGCAAAGCAGGCAAAGTCTGATAGAGGGGCGCCCTACATATACTGGGGATACAGTAGGTGGGCCGCCTTCGCATCCACCATTGTGGCGTTTTGTCGCAGCACGGAAGCAAAGCAGGCAGTAATGACAGGTCAGTTAATTGCAGTAGTTTTGTGCACGCATGGCCAGAGAGCAGTGGAATAGCGGCCGAGGATTGCCGCCGCGAGGGGTGTATCCGACACCGTCTCACATTGGCGCACCAGGACCGCCCGAAACCACATGCAAGCAGGGCCAGGTTGCCCAGGATTGCCGCTGCGAGGGAGCAAAGCAGGCAGTAATGACAAGTCAGTTAATTGCAATAGTTTTATGCACGCATGGCCAGAGAGCAATGGAACAGCGGCCGAGGATTGCTGCCGCGAGGGGTGTATCTGACACCGTCTCACATTGGCGCACCAGGACCGCCCGAAACCACATGCCAGCAGGGTCAGGTTGCCAGAGGGGGTTGGTCTTCTATGGGCCAGTCCAAGGGGAAAAAGCTATGACAACAGTCATCAGGGGCATCGTGGCGTTGTCACAGCACGGACGCAAAGCAGGCAAAGTCTGATAGAGGGGCGCCCTACATATACTGGGGATACAGTAGGTGGGCCGCCTTCGCATCCACCATTGTGGCGTTTTGTCGCAGCACGGAAGCAAAGCAGGCAGTAATGACAGGTCAGTTAATTGCAGTAGTTTTGTGCACGCATGGCCAGAGAGCAGTGGAATAGCGGCCGAGGATTGCTGCCGCGAGGGGTGTATCCGACACCGTCTCACATTGGCGCACCAGGACCGCCCGAAACCACATGCAAGCAGGGCCAGGTTGCCCGGGATTGCCGCTGCGAGGGAGCAAAGCAGGCAGTAATGACAAGTCAGTTAATTGCAATAGTTTTATGCACGCATGGCCAGAGAGCAATGGAACAGCGGCCGAGGATTGCCGCCGCGAGGGGTGTATCGGACACCGTCTCACATTGGCGCACCAGGACCGCCCGAAACCACATGCCAGCAGGGCCAGGTTGCCAGAGGGGGTTGGTCTTCTATGGGCCAGTCCAAGGGGAAAAAGCTATGACAACAGTCATCAGGGGCATTGTGGCGTTGTCACAGCACGGACGCAAAGCAGGCAAAGTCTGATAGAGGG